AGGTCGGGCGCCCGGGGCTGAGGTCGCACTGCCGTCCGTGCACACGTAGCGTGAGGAGCTCACTAAGCTCCAGGGCCGCACGCATAGCCGGGCGACATCAGGACGCATCAGAGCTCCCCTCCTTTGGGTGGATGAAGCCTCAGGCGTTGTCATTCAAGTTGGGGAAAATAAAAACTCCCCAACCAAAATGCTCAGAGCCACTTGAGAAATAAAAATAGAATCCTTGAACGTTCCTTCATGCACTTCAAGGACGTGCAGAAAGTTCAGTTCCCGCGCAAGGATGGGCTCCTGCTGAGTCACCCTTAACCCCCAGCTCCCCGTGAGGACGGCTCTGTAGTCTGGGCGTCCGTCTCCTTTGCCACTTAAAGTCACCCCCAGGGCCATCCCGAGAGCTCGGCCGTGCCGTCGGCGCGCTGGCCCCCCGAGGCCCGGACCTGCTCGCCGTGGCCCCCGCAGGCAGCCCATCGCCCGCAGCCTTCGAAGCCTTGGTGCTTCGTCACCCGTTAGGTTAACAGAGAAATCTGAGTCCCCGGCCCTAGAGTGAGAAGACGCTAAGCAGATCCACCGGCCTTTTATGTTGAAGCTCCAGGAATGGAAAGATGGGGTGAGGGGCGGTGGGGCTAAAACTCGAGAAGGCGGAGGCAGGTGGCGGAGGCAGGTGGCAAACGCGGCCCCGTCCCTGCGGGTCTGAGCTGGAGTTCCTGGTAAAGCTGCGTCCTCTCGGCCAGCACAGCACGTGTCTCTCCCCCTCCGGAACCGGGAGCCGCTGCCCCAACTGTGAGAGGGAAGGGGCGGCTCGAGTCAGGACCCAGCCTGCAGCTCCCAGGTGCCCGAGCACCCTGAGCACCGAGCCTCGGGGTCCCGGCAAAGCCGCCGTCCGTCCGGCATCTCTCCAACACGGACACTGAGCCGTGGAAGCCCCTCCTGCCTCCGGTGGGCGGAGGACAGAAATTAGATTAGGACTCTCTGTAGTGCCTGTCCTGGGGTCCCTCTTCTGGCAGAGACTGGCGAGCGGTGGCTCCCCCTGCCCACCCCACCCTCCAGGCATGTGCCCAGTTCCACTCCGCCCCCCGGGGTGGGGGGTGGGGCACGACTGATCCGCGGCGGGGGTCTGAAGACAACAACTGGGTGCAGGAGCAGGCCTCTGAGCGGGGCTTGGTGAGCGTCAGGCCTTTGGCCGGGAGGCCTGAGGCACGAGCTGGCCGAGCAGAGGCCGGGGGGACAGTGGGGCACAGTCCAGGGCTGCTGGGCTGCAGGCTCTGGGGGTGGGATCCCCAGGAGCAAGGTTGGACAGCGGCTGGAACCAGATCATGGGGCCACTGGACTTGTTCTCCCTAAAATGACAAGTCCTGGAGAGTTAACAAGAGCAGGCGTAGCTGAGGCTGAGTGTGGGGAGATGACATCGGCACCAGCTGGCCCTGGGCCTAGGAGGGAGAGGACAGGGACAAAGCGGTGGGAGAGACTCCCTGGGGAAAGTCCACAGCTCTCCCCAGACCTTTGCCTACTTGATTCCTCTCGCTTTAGACATTAGTTCCCCTGGTAACCCCTGTGGCCCCACCCGGCCGGGTCAGGAGCCCTTGCCTGTGCTCCCTGTTTCCCGCCCAGGCCTGCGAGAAGCGCACATCTGTGGTATGTTAGCCAGCAGGTTAGATAGCCTGCACCAGCCCAGGGCGTGAGGAACGAGCTGGAGATGGTAGGCAGCTTGGAGCCAGAGCGACTGGAGGTGGGTGACGCCCTTCATCTACACGGGGACACAGGAAGAGGGCAGCCGTGTGCGCTTCAGACCCCGTGCGGCATTCGGAGTGCCGCCGGGACACTGCGCGAGTGCGGCCAAGCCCTGCAGGCAGCACCTCGGGAACGCGAGCCGCCATGTGTCTGCTGGGTGTGGCCAGGCTGCCAGGGGCCTTCAGTGTGCATCTGCCCTCACATGCCCGGGACGAGGGAGTGACGGCGGCCCCCTGCACCCCAGGTCTGTCACGGGCTTTATTGCCAGTGACCGGTTTTGAAGACTTTTTTTTTTCCCAAGAAACGCTTTTGGCTGCCGCAGTTGGTGTCCCTGCATCCTGCCATGAGTTGGGTTAGGAGAGTCCTTGAATAGAGACTGAGTTTGAATCGATCAGTGGCATTTGGGGGTTGGAAAATCGCTCAGGAGCCAGCTAATTTATAATGTCACGTAGGCGAGACAAGAAGGCCCAAGAGGATGGGCTGTCTCTCGGCCTTTTTTTTTCTTTTTGAAAAAGGGAAGGGAAAACAGAAGGACCCGTGCTTGGCTGTTCGGCGTTCAGAGATGAGCGCCGTCCGCACTAGACCATTGGGACACGGGCCGCTTCGCCTCCTGTGCCCCCTTGCTTCCCAGCCCGGCAGCCCCCGCGGCGGGCCAGCTGTGCCGCGGCTTTGGATCCTCCGTCCTTTCCCAGCCCAGATGCCAGCCCTGCAGCCGCCGAGCCTGGCTCTGACTGATGTGCCGAGGACACCTGTTCCGCAATGAGCCCCAGCGCGGGCCGGCGGCCCCTGTGTGGCCCCTGTGTGTGCGTGCGTTCCCTCTAAGCAGCCCTGCCCCCTTCCGAGTGGGGTGGTCAGTCTGTGGTCCAGAATGTTAACGGAAAAAGGAACCGCGTCCCAGCTGCCGTTCAGCTGCTGACCGACCGAGTCTTCTAAGGGAGCGCTTCGCTGCCTGTCCCCACTCCGAGGACAGACCTGCTCTCCCTAGAGCTGGACATGGGAGTGCCAGGTGGGGGCGGCCCCTCACCTGCGTGCCTCCTGGCTCTCTTCCCACCACGGAGCTGGCGCCTCGCGGCCAGTTCTTGCTCTGCGTCCTGGGGTGTGGCGTATACCTGGTCTCTACACAGAGGGATGCTCCAGCGGGCCAGGGTCCCATCCAGTGGGGTTTTTATCAAAGGGGCTCTTGTGTGACAGGATCTTGACGAGCACTTGCTGAGGAGGAGGCAGTGGCTTTGGCATGGGGGTCGGGGGGTTCCCGGAGGGAAGGGCTTGGCAGCCTGCAGCAGTGGGATTCCCTGCCCGCCTTAGCGGCTGCCTCGCACACCCCACCCCCACCCCTGTTCTTACCCAGTGGGACTCGGTAAAGACCCGTGTTCAGCCTTCAAAGGTGAGGGCTCACCTCCCATGTAAGCCACCTCCATGGACGTTTCCAACGCCCACAGCAGCGGGAGTACCATGTGGTCAGTGGGAGGCACCGCAGGTCAGAGGGGGCACCTCAGCACCTGGCCCCGGGCACCCGGGCCAAGTTTGCATGGAAACGCTGGCGGCCAGTGGCTTTGTGCGTGTTCCTCCCTAGACGGCGCCCTCTCCCATCCCACAGAGGAGAAACTCGGCAGCAGAAAGTCTCCCTGATGCAGTAATTTTCCTAAGTGACTTGCTGAAGGGGCTGCGAACAGATTGGCTCAGTGAAGCGGGGGAGAGGGGCGGGGGGGTGGGGCGCAGTTCTGCGCCTTCCTGAGTCCCCAGCCCCTCTCCCTGGGCCTGAGGGGACCGCTGAGGGCTGGCCGGACCACCCCTGGCCTCTGCCTCCCTAGCCCTTCACTGCTGGAAGCGCCTCTGCCCCCACCCGAACAACAGCAGGTCGGTGTCTGGGCACGGCAGAAAGCCCTTTCCAGAGTCCCCCAGCCCGGCAGTGGCCGGGCCTCGTCCACCCCAGCTAATTAGAGCCTTCTCCTTAAGCCGGCACTTGAGTCTTCCCTGTCCTTCACTCTCACAGGGATAATGGGCTCTGAGAAGAGGTCACAGCTCCTTCCACATCCTGTTCTCCTTGTGATGGGGGCGGGGGAGGGCCGGCTCAGCCCCCTCCGGTGGGGCCCCCGCCTGCCTGTCACAGGGCAGCCAGCTGGCCGCCAGACCCAGCAGCTGTGACACATTCACCCAGATCACAGGACCAGGGCCCGGCTCCCTAGAGTGGGCCCGCTCCCGCGTTCAGGCGCCTCTGGTGAGTGTCATTAGCATTAACGTGATGAAACGGCACCATGCAAATGTTAATCAGGCCCGATGCCTCCTCTGCTTCCGAGTGGCAGATTGGAAATGGTGCCATCGTGGTGACACCAACCAGCAGCGGCTTTGCATTCCTCTGCTCCCTGAGCACCCAATTTGGCGTGGAAATCCTAACCTCCCCCCCGCGTCCCGGCCCCAGGCTCCACTGGGCCTCGTGCGCCCCATTTTCTTTCGCAGAGAGGGTTCAGATTTCCCACAGGCCCATTTTCCAAGACAGGCTTTCCATTTTTTTAAAAGTTAACATTCACTCTCTCCTGTTCTCTAAAGAGAAAGAGACCCGAGGTGCCGGCAGCCCCCGCCCCTCGGTCTGGGCCCCACCCCCACTCCCCAGCTTTCCACACCCACTTCTCCCAGTGCCACCCTTCTCTTCCTGGCCTGGGTGTTTCTCTGAGGGGTGTGCCCTGGAAGCCGCTGGCTCTGGTTCTCCCTGCTTCCCCTTCTCTCGAAGGTAAAAACAGGCTAATTGTTGACATCCTGGTTGACCTTTTTCTCTGAAACCTTCAGAAAGGTGTCCCCTGCACTGCACTGCCAGGGCCCCTGGTCCCCTCCTCCTCGTGTCTTTCTGGGAAGCCGTGAGGGCCCGCTGTGTGCCCTGTGCGTCTTCGGATCGTCTTCCTGCCACCTGGTGCCTAATCTGTACACGTGCCCAGCTTGGTGCCGCGCTGCGAATCCCTGGTATTTGCTGAAGAGAAGTGAGCAGGCGATGTCCCCAGGACGTCACCTGGGACTGCCTGGAAACTCCTTTCCAGGAGTCTCAGGACAGTAAGCCTGAGGAATGGCAGAGAAGCGTGGCCCTGGATTCCCCTTGGGGCCATGACACTGGGAACTCACAGCTGACGCTGTCAGGCCCAGGAGCCTCTGCCAGGCCAGGCGCACACCCCGGTTAGGACTGGCCGGCCCCAGGCAGAGGCCGTGCAGACCGTGTGTCCCCGCACACACGTCTGCCGTGTGCCGCTGGCCTGCGTGCCCCCCTCACTCCTGTTTTCGTCGCCTAGGCTGTCTTCACTCTCCTCCTGGGACCCTTCACCTTCTTTGACGTCCAGAAGACCAAGTACCTGCAGATCCTGACCTCCCTGATGAGGTGGATCGGTGAGTCTGAGAAACACCTCGAGTCCTGCCCTTCCTCCCCTCGCGCCGTCCTGAACCCGTCGGAGGCGGCCGGGCGGGCTCGCGGCCCTGGCTGGGACGTGGTGTGGGCTTCGGTGGGCTCCCGGGGCCAGGGGAAGGCGGGCGCTCTGCCTGCCTTTTTGCTGCTGGGGAATTTAGTACCGAAAAAGCCTAATCACTTCCGGGTCGCCTAGTGTGGGCAGAGCTGGAGCAAGACCTGGGACTGCTGGTTCTGGGGCCAGCCTTTGTCACACACCTGCCCTGGGTCTCCACTGACCCACAGACTGAGGCTGGGCAGCCGAAGGCCAGGCCAGGGCTCTGCTCCCTCCAGGGCATGAGAGCTGTGCCGCCGACCAGTGGGCAGCGACAGCCGCCTCTGTCGACTGTGGTTCCCTCTGACTGGCTCCCCGCCGAGCAAGGGGCTCTCCCTTTAAATCCTGCCGCACCATCCTGCCATCCCCCCAGAGGGGACAGGCGCACACCCACCTGGATCCAGGACAGGAGGGGTGGGCTCCCCGCCGCCCCGTCAGCCGGCATGTGCTCTGGGTCAGTCACAAGCCAGTTTTCATCTAACAGCCAACACGCTGTTGCTGTTGTGGTCGGGACCCCTCCCCCCGCCCCTTCCTCAGCCCCCTCGCCCAGCGCCCCTGCCCCTGTCCGGACTCAGGTGCACGGGGCCCCTCACTGCAGGCCGGCACTCGGCGCCAGGTCGCAACGCGCTCAGGCAGCGTCTCATCCAAATGATGCCCAGCGCTTTTGGCCCCTGCGGTGCCCTGGTCCCCCGGCTCAGAATTACAGGACCCCAGCACAGGGAGCCGTCCCCTCAGGGGAGTCCTGGCGTCTTCAGCCGGAAGGGCCCTGGCCGTCATGCAGGCCCGCTCCCCCCTCAAGGGCATCTGGCCAGAAGCGCACGACTGGGGGGCTCCCGCTCTGCTTGCAGGGGACACTTCTCAGTTCTGGGAATTCCGGCCATGGCCTGAGCCACACCCACCAGCCCGTGACTTCTTCCCACTATTGGTCCCTCCTTGCAAGGAAAAGGGAACAGGGCTGAGGGGCCTGGGGGATAAGATTTGGGGCCTCTCACTGTCCAGCCTCATCCATCAAGGCGAGGAGCAATAGGACACCTACCCGTTCGATAGCCAGGTGGGGCGAGGTCCCTTGTCTGCCCCACTCGGTGGCCTTGAGCCTGTTCTCACCCACAGGGTGCCGTTTTCAAATTGCATGCACCAGCTCCAAAGCCCTGGGTTAGATCAGCAGGCCCACCTGGGAAAAACGGGCGCGCGCTGCTCGGGACAGGAGGAGCGTGCGGGCTCCAAGGGCACGATGTTGGGATCGCATGCCCTAAAGTCCGGGCTCAGCAGCGGTCAGACCCAGCGGCCGTGCACGGCCCCCAACAGGTCTGCTTATAGCAGGTGTTTGAAAGCCCTGGGGACCTGGGGAGGTCTTCTCAGGAAAGCAGCATTTGGAGAAAAACCTCCCTCCTCGCTTCCCTGGCCTAACCTGCTGTCACAGCAGCCTGGTCCCAAAGTCCTGAAAACGTGGCCCCTGCCTGCTCAGGATTGGCTGCCCTCGGCCTGCGGCATGAGGGAGGGGAAGGGGCTGGTGAAGCCCCGTCCCCGGCCCCCTCCCTCGGTGGCGAGGCAGGCAGGGGTGGAGTGGGGACTGCCGGAGGGCACGCCGCGCGTTAGGCCGCAGGGTGGACCCCGCGTCGGCCCACGGGGATGGCTGCCCGGAGAGGGGCCACGGATGGCCTCCCTCTGTAGCACCCCGTGCCTGTGCAGCCTGGCAAAGTCCTCTGCGCCTGGTGAGCGGTCCGTTCACTAGACGGGGGACAGTTGTAAGAGGCTGAGGAGGAGGCTGACAGGAAACGAGGCACCCCAGACTTGGGCGGTGCTGAGCCTCTGTCGTGGGCAGGGCCCCGGGGGCCTCGCAGGCGGCTGGGAGCGGACGTTGCCCCCTCCCCTCTTGCTGTCAGCTTCCCCTCGGTGGCATTGGCCAGCGGGCCCCTGATGGCCCCGGGCAGCCTCCTTTTCCCCCAACCAGAGCCCCTCCCACGGAGCAGCAAGGCAGCCGCGCCTCAGGGACGGGGCAGCAGGGCTGTCCTGGTTTCCCCCAAGGCTCCGCCCTCGGAGGCGGCCCCCACCATGCGCACAGCGATGTGGTGGCAGTGGCCTTGAGAGAGGTGTTTGACCACGGAAAGCGCAGCTCAGGAAGGTCCTCCGCGCTCCTGTGCAGATGGTGACATTGCCTGGATGTTGTCTCTGCAAGTCATTTGCCTCTTTTCTCCCTTCGACCCGAGAGACAGGCAGCAGAAGTCCCCCTGCCGACCTGTGGTCCAGAGGGCTCTTGGGTGACCGCACAGTCATTTTTCTCCTGTAGACACTCAGACCTCAGGGCGTGAGAAGAAAGCCTCTGTGGCAGAAAGCCCCCTCAAGTCAGAGGAAGGCGCCCGGCTGAGCGAACTCGGACACGGAGCCCGGCCTGGGGTCCCGTCCCCGCCGCCGCCCTGCAGCCACCTGGCGTCCTCCCTCGCGGCCCTGGTGGAAGGCGGCAGCGCGGCCTCGGGAGGGCGCCGGGAGCACCAGGCGCCCCACGAGGCCGCCCGCTCTGGGAGGGACCGAGGTCTGCCCAGGCGTTTGCAGGCCGCCTGGGTGGGGTCTCTCCTCGGACCCAAGCTCCCCCGAGGCGGTTTTTCTAGAACTCCAAGGCAGTGAGCGCCGAAGCCCCGTTTGTCCTCTCAAGGCCACGCCAAATTGGCAGTTCACAGCAAACTCGCTTTTTGTGTTGCAGCCGCGTCCCCGTGCCCCTTCCACACACCCGCCTCTGCCCTCTCCCACGCAAGGGCCCGGACCGGGGACAGCTGCCTGGAGCGCTCGGGGTGGCAGGGCGCTGGCTTGGGTTCTAGAAAGACAAAAGGGAAAAGCAAGCACCAAAGGGACCGGAAAATCACCAATGTGCTGGGCCGGAAACTTACTTGTGCTTAATTAGAATTGGTTCTGCCATCTGTTGCAATGAGGCGGGAGGGCTCCGGAGCCCGCCCCAAGCAGGGCCCCGGCTCAAGGCAAGCCAGGAGCCTGGAGACCGCCCCCAGCTTCCTCTGCACCCTCCTTCAGTCGTCAGCCCCGGAGCTCCTCACTCTGCCAGAATGGAATCAAGAGGTTTGGGTGACCTTTTCAAATAGCCACTGTCCAGGGAAACGTTGGGATGCGTGTGATGGGTGCCAGTGTTAATTCATTTCTTTTGCTGCCCTAGTAAGTTCTGGGGAGACCAGGCTGGCCAATTGGGGTGACTGAGATTGCAGACGCCTCTGAATTCACATGTGCCACGTGTAGTCTCGGTCACCGTCCGGCAGGTGAGCCGCGTTCAGGCCTCGGCAGGCTTCCCGACCAGCCCGGGGGCCATCTGGCCACTCTCCCCCAGGCGGCTGCTTCCCGGCCAGCCCCCCCGCACGGCACCTCCTCCCTTTGTGCGCGTCCTTGGCCGCACAGTGTTTACTCCAAAGGTGCCCGACAGGCAGGCCTGCCCCAGCCAGGCCCCTCGTCTGGCAGCAGCCAAGGCAGGGCTCCCCTTCAGCAGCTGGGTAGGTACCGTGCGACCGTGCGGGAAGCACTGGTAGCACAGCACCCGGCACCAGGCGAGCACCCGCAGCGTTAGCCAAGGCCTGCGTCGCCGCCATCGCCACCGGTCGGCTGTCACATCCCTGAAGTGGCCTCTCCCTTGCCCGAGGGGAAGGAGAAGCAGGCCCCTTGCACAGGGGTGCTGCAGGCGTCCGCCGTACTCCTGGCTCTCTCGCTGTCCGTGGCCAGCAGGCCAGGGACACTCCGGGAGACACAGCCAGAAGCCCTGTGCCTCGTGCCGCCAGGCCCAGCAGCTGTGGCTTCAGAGCCAGACCCTAGGCTGCCGTACGAGGACTGTTAGCTGATCCCCTGGGACACCGGCAGGGAGTGTCATTACCTCACTCCCATTACCAGCTTCCCCCAGCAGACGCCTCCCACATGGGGACCCGAACAGCTGGCTCAGTGCGGGACGCTCCATGTGGCATTATTAAAAAGCTGATACCCTAATAAACCCTGCTCCGGAGCAGGCGGCCCTCCTTGGCTGGGCCCGGTTGCTGGGACCCACAGGGCCGCCTTCCCTCTGATTGTGTATTCAGAGCAGCCGCCGCACACACCGCTCTGTCGCCGGGATCCGCTCAAAGTGGGTCAGGCGCGTCCTCTCCGAGCCGGCGCTCGTGGGGGAACGTGACCCTGCTTCGGGGAGTTTCTCGGCCCTGCTTTCCCCACCCGCCCCAGTGGGTGCCCCAGATCAGTGTTCTAGACTGAGCTGGGGGGAGGTGGGACTCAGTGGTGGTGGCCCAAGTGGCAGAAGGTCCCCAGGAGGAGACCGTCACCTGGGAGGGAACATAAGGGCTCTCCGGTTTTACCTGTCCCCAGAATTATCTGTGGCCGCTTGGCTGACTCCCCGCAGATCCGTGGCTGATCTCAGCAGAGCGTCTCGGGGGGAGCGCTCTGACCTGTCACCACCAGCAGCCAGGGGGCTTCTGTGCCTGGGCCATCTGTTCGCATGCTGCCGGTTTGGCCTGCCAGCTTGATACACGGATTCCTTCGCAGCCACTCACTCACCAAGGGCTTCTGGGAGGCCGAGAAGGGCCCTCGTCTCGAAGCGAAGGTACCCCGGCCCCAGAGCAGCCAGCCAGCCAGCCCTGTGCTCCGTGCCAGCCCGGCCTCTAGGCCACCATCCGGGGCCCTCCTGGCTGCTAAGCATCCATTGTGGTCTTGATTTTATCCTTGGCTTTCTAAAAGTTCTCCCTGTGAACACAGAGGTCAGTTTAAAGGAGAGGAACCTGGGGTTTCTATCTTAAGTCTCAGGGTAGAGCGGACACCGAATTCAAGTCTGCGGAGGAGTCAGCCATGTGTCTCAGGTGACCCCTTCTCTTGGTGGCATGGCCGAGCCCGAGCTCTGCCAGCCTGGCCTGGAGCAAAGGCCACGGGCCAAGATGGGTGCTGACCTGGGCGTTGGAGGGGCGCCTGCTCCCCCAGGCAGTGGGCAGCCCCGTGGCCTGGACCACAGCGGGGTGGGGGGGCGACAGATGAGGCCTGGGGGGTGTCCGCCCGCAGCAGTGACGGGGCCTCTGCAGAGCTGGGCCCCGCACGGGCCGGGCAGCCTCAGCCTCACAGCAGCCGCGCAGCCGCAAAGACATCTGCAGAGCGGGCGGCCCAAGCTCAGGAATTGACGCTCCGCCCAGGGGAATCCAGGTGCCCCCACCCCCATAGGATCGCCTTCCTCATCCCCCTCCCCCGGCCGCACTTGCGTCCCTGTCCCTGGTTTGCCTTCTCCCTGACCCAGCGGCTGCTTGAGAGCTGCCTGAGCCGAGGCCGCTGTAACACAGCAGCACGGGCTGGGCGGCTCCAGCGGCAGAAGCTGCCTTCTGCAGTCCTGGAAGCTGGGGGCCCAAGGTCACGGTGCTGTCGGGGTCGGTCTCCGGCGAGGCCTGTCTTCTGGCTTTTCCACGGCCGCTTCCTGCTGCGTCCTCGTGCGGCCTGTCCTCTGCACGTGCCGAGGAGAGGGCGGCTGGCACCTCTTCCTGCTCTCGTGGGAGCGCCCGTGGGGCCCGGCCAGGGCCCACCCCAGGGCCTCCCGGCAGCTCTCGTCCCTCCCTGCCGTCCCCATCCCCAGGTGTGGCCACACGGGGTCCGGGCTTCAACCTAAGGAGCGTGGAGGACACCGTTCCTAACAAGAGGAAAGGCGGGCAGCCTTCGGGAAGGTGACAGCGCCCAAGGTTTATGTTTCCCGTCTCCGGGAAGCGCAGTCGGCCACCAGCCTGCGGCCCCGCTCCCCCAGCAATTGCAGGTGAAGCCGACTCTCCCAGCTCAGAGATGAAAAATGGAGACTGTCCCCTCCCCAACGCCACTGGCCACAGGGTGGAGAGTTGAAGGATGAGGAGGCCAGAACTCTTGATCTACTTAAGACTTGATTGCTTCAGAGACTCAAATGCCTGCCTTTATCACGGACCGCCTCCCCCTGGCACACTGGGAAGGGGAAGGCTCTGTGCTGAGGCCGTGAGGATAAATCATTCAGCCACAGGGCAGAAAACCTCCTGATCCTTTACACATCCTTCTCCTCTGCTTCCGTGGTGATGAGGAGGAAGAGGAGGACAGCTGGACCCCTTCAGAAACCACAGGGGCCGACCGAGCATGGGAAGGGAGTCAGACTGGCTTTAAACCCCCTCCCTTCAGCAGAAATCCAAGCGACGCTTCCTGGTGACTTCTTATTACAGGCGAGACCAGCAATCACAGAATGTCTTGCAGGCCTGAGATAAAAAGCCTGACCCAGGGCTGAGGGGCACGTCTGTGCAGAGAGCTGTTCCCAGAGGGCCACCTCCCAGCCGGAGCGCGGGTGTGTCCTGTCTTCTTGGGAGGTGAAATGAGCCCCGTCCCTGACCCACAGTCCGTGCAGCAGTGGGAGGGTGGTGATGGGGAAGGGCAAAGCACATGAGCCTCAAAGAACCCAAACAGAGCACCTTTTCCTCGTCACTTAGCCAGAGTCCCTGCAGGTGACAGTGACTGGGACAGCTTGGCCTTGTGTGACAATGGGGGGGGGGCGGGGGCAAGAAGAGCCTAGGGTTCTGTGGTTCACAGAGCAGGTCCAGTAGCCTGTCCTGGGTCCTCCTCACCCCCCACCCCCACCCCGACGCCCAGAGCCCTGAAGATCAGGGCTGGGGACGCTCCCAGAAAGGGCTGTGACCACAGGGAGGGCGAGGTCCCTGGTGTGCACCCTCCTTGGAGCAAAAGGAGAGTCAGGCAAGAGCGGGATGGACGGGGCTTCCTGTTTGCCTGGGCCCGGGGCTGGCAGAGGGGGCAGCCCCGCAGGCTCCTCCGTGTCGGGGTCTGACGCCTGGTTCCCCTCAGGGACCCCCTGGTGGTCTCCTGCCCTTGGCCTCGGGCACCTCCCGTGACAGAGATCTCACCATGTGCCCCAGCAGCTGAGGTGCCCGTGAACCTGTTCTCTTCCGTTGTAATTTGTCTCCTGTAACTTCCTCCCCTTGGCCCCGTGGATCGGAGGCTCCGGAAGGGTGGAGACTGTCTCTCCTCAGTGCACCGCCCCAGGAGCCCAGAGCAGCGCCGGCCCACAGCGGCGGGCTCTCGGCTCACCTTTGTCGAATGGTTGGGTGGCCCAGGTGAGCCCATAAGTTTACACAAAACAGGTGCAGGTTTGTTGGTTTTTTTTTTTTACATGGGCTTTTACTGCCGACAGTAAGAATCTGCTGTCCCACTTTGTCTTGCAACTGCCCTTTTAAAGTCCCCACAGCCACTCCTCATGTGACATGTGTCTGGACCTCCCCTCCCCTCCCCGGGCCCCTCCCTGGCCACCCACTGCATCTGCTCGCCCCGGGGAGCCTGACGTCCGACGGCAGCGCAGAGTGCAGGTGGGCGCAGCCCGGCCCTCGTCCAGCGCGGGGGTCTGTCCTCGGAGCACAGCCTGCGAGGGTCGGGGCGGGGCTGCCGGCCCGGTCGCCGGGAGAGCGGGAGGTCGCTGCTCCGTCCGCTCCAGGGTCCGCGGTGGCGAGCCGCGCTCCCACTGCACCTCGCCTCGGGCAGTGTCTGTTGCTCACGGTCTGTCATCTCGGTCTGTCATCTCCGTCCTGATTTACTATCGGACCTAACGAGTTTTCAGAGCAGCGCTCTCCCAGGGCCCGGGCCATCAATCCCGCGGACGGCTGCTGGACTCTGCCCCTCTGGCCGCCGGCGGGGGCGGGGCCAGGACAGGAGTGTGGTCACAAGGGCAGAGTGACAGGGTCGGGGATTTGGTCCTTGTCTCTAGGCCCAGGACCCCTCAAGGTCAGAGCCTCCCACACCGGGCCTCCTGTTCCCTTCCATCTCTGTCCCTCCATTGAGGCACCACGTTGAGGGTGTCCCCGGTTTCTTTTGAATTTGCCGACGTGGAGACCACGTTGGGGCATCTCCCGTCTCTGTACCCTCCAGGCAGCAGCCCAGCACTGCCCCGTGTCCTCACAGGGGACCCGAAGGGCCCACGGCTCCCACATCCCCTGCACGTTCTTGAGGTTAGCGAGGGCTTGTTTGGGCCACTTCCTAATGCTGCTGGAATCGCCTCCCAAGAGCCTCAGGCATCGAAACCCCTGGGCATCCAGCCTGTGAAGGTAGATCTGGCTTTTGGAGATAGACCTGTTGGTTTTGGAAATAGACCTGTTTGATTAAGGAAATGAGATAGGTGTCTAATCTAGGTAGTAGAACTGTTTGGTAAAACTAATTATAGCAACGGGATTGTGAGACCAGGTTTTCTTACCCCCCATAGGGGACCCCTGTGAGCAGGTGTACGTTTTTGGGTGGTGGGGGGGGGCACGTGCTGGCTTTGGAAGCCTGCTCCGTAAGCTGGTTTATTCACTGCAGCAGAGCCCCCAGTCACGGCTGCCCAGGCAGCTCGCACGCCAGCCTCTCTCTGCGTTTCTCACAGCCTCGTGGAGACTGAGGGCTGAGGAGGAAGGAGAGCCGGGGAGCTCGGGCCAGCGGCCTGGCCGAGGGAGTGGGGACGGAGGCGCTCACGACCCAGGAGCCAGCCCTCCTGCCTCCTGCCGCGCCCTCCGCTCCGGCCGGGCCGAGGCCCGCGAGACACCCAGAGGGCTCCGCCACTTGCCTCGTTCTGAGTCTGGGCCGGAGGTGGCACCAGGTCACGAGGGGACACCCCGGTAGAGACACAGCAGGGTTTGAATCTTGCCTTGCAGCCACTGTCCCCTGTGCCCTGACCCCAGTGCCCTGCGTCTGGTGACAGCTGTCAGCAGCAGCCTCTTGAATAGCTAATCACCAGGTGGCCCCAGGCCCCCAGTCTTCCCGCTGCAGCCGCCCCACCCGCTCCACTCAGCCCTGTAACCGCCTGGCCTGGGACAGCACCCCCGGCACAGGGGACCCCACCCCCCAGCTCTCCCCGGCCCCCTCACCCTCACACCCGCCCCGCACGCGCCCCCAGGAACAATGAGGCAGGCTGCCAGGGTCCTGGGTGCTCCAAGGAGCAGGGAGGGCCCGTGGGGTGTCACATCCCCCAGCCCCCCGAGAGGGCTGAGCCAGAGGCAGCTTCTAGGCTGTGACCTCGAGGAGGGAAGGGAGCCCACGCTCCCCCTCGACCCCTGGGAGCTGGCCAGATATGTGACGTCCCTGGGGCGGTGAGAGCCGCGGGGCCCTCGGTGTCGGGCGCTGCCGCGACGGGGCGGACTCCAGTCAGAACCACGTCCTCATCGGCGGTTTTCGCTGGCCTGGGCCCTAGCCCTCCCCTCCTCCGGTCCCCGGCAGTGTCAGGCAGCTCCGCTCAACAGCAACAGGCGATGTTCCTGTCGGCCCCACTTCAAGTGTCACTGTGGGAAGACAGTCAGGCTTTCTTTGAGTCCCAGGAGGAGGGGGCCGGGGGCGCGATGCGGCCTGAAGGGGACTGAGGAAACCCCAGCCCCCCCGGGAGGGGCCCCTTCAGCCCACTGCCCCTTGATGCCTGTGTCCCTCACCAAGGCGGGGCACTGCCCCTCCACTGGCTGATGCCTCTCCCGTTTTCCAGCCTTCGCCATCATGATCGTGCTGGCCCTGGTCCGCATCGGGCGCGGCCACGGGGAGGGGCACCCGCCCCTGGCCAACTTCTCCGGGGTCCGGAACCTGTTCGGGGTGTGCGTGTACTCCTTCATGTGCCAGCACTCCCTGCCGTCCCTCGTCACGCCCGTCTCCTCCAAGCGCCACCTCACACGCCTGGTCTTCCTGGACTACGTGCTGATCCTGTCCTTCTACGGCCTCCTCTCCTTCACCGCCATCTTCTGCTTCCGCGGCGACAGGCTCCTGGACATGTACACCCTCAACTTCGCAGGCTGCGACATCGTGAGCGTGGCCGCCGTGCGCTTCTTCCTGGGCCTCTTCCCCGTCTTCACCATCAGCACCAACTTCCCCATCATCGCCGTGACCCTGCGCAACAACTGGAAGACTCTCTTCCACCGCGAGGGGGGCACGTACCCCTGGGTGGTGGACCGTGTGGTGTTTCCCACCATCACCCTGGTGCCCCCGGTGCTGGTGGCCTTCTGCACCCACGACCTGGAGTCCCTGGTGGGCATCACAGGGGCCTACGCGGGCACCGGCATCCAGTACGTCACGCCGGCCTTCCTGGTGTACCGCTGCCGCAAGGACACCGCGCTGGCCTTCGGCCACGGCACCGCCAACAAGCACCGGTCCCCTTTCCACCACACCTTCTGGGTGGGCTTTGTCCTGCTCTGGGCTTTCTCCTGCTTCTTCTTCGTCACCGCCAACATCGTCCTCAGTGAGACCAAGCTCTGATGAAGACGAGTCTTCCGCCTGCGGGGCCCAGGCTCTGGGCGGGGACCCTGCACGTCTCCAGCCGGAGATCCTGTCCCTGCCCAGGCTTCCTGCCGCACAGCCTGCACCTCACCTCACCTCCGGGCAGCCTCCCCCAGGTCTCCCGCCGGGGTTGCCCCCAGCCAGGTGAGCCGTGCATGGCACTTGGCCCTCCCAGACTCCAGGACGGGTTCCTGGGGTTGACCCCTCTGCTCTACGCACACGCCCCCCCACCCCCGTGTCCTGCGCGGTGGAGACGCAGCGCTGGCACTGCCACTATTTATACTAGTCACCATGCCCCCTCCCTCCCGTACCCTTACCTGCGAAATCTACACTAGAAGCTGCCTCCTCAGGATGAATCCCAGGCCCAGACGCACAGGGTCTGCCAGGCTTGGTGTTGCCTTGTGCCACTTCCCTGGCCCGCCCAATGACGAACAGGATGGGGAGGTGCTCATCGGCACGGGCACTGGCGCTGTGAGGGCCCTGCCGTGGCACCAGCTCCTGGCCCAGGTTGCGCCCACGAAGACGCAGGAGCAGCCCTCCCTCGGGGCGCAGCCGCCCGTGCACGGCTCGCAGCCCGAGCTGGGGCCCCCGGGGGGCTGCTCTGCCCTCCCTCGCGGCCTCCTGCAGTGCGGGGGTGGTGCAGGGGGGCCGCTGAAGGGGAGCCGCCCCCGCAGTGACTTGGGAGTGCCCTGGGCCCATGGCAGTGAGCGGCCTTCGTGGCTCCCGCCCTGTCAGCAGGCAGCCTGTCCCTGTTCCTGCACTGACACTGAGCGCGGCCCCCTGTCCGGCCAGGCTGTGGGGGCTCCGTGTTCACACACCTCACGTCCCTTGGGCGCCATGGGGTGAGGTGGGGCACTGGCCGCCATTCCCGTGGAAGGAGGGTCAGGTCCCGTCCACCTCGCCGGCTCCCCGTGACCCCTCCCCGCACAATCATGCATGCACTTTCGGGGCAGCCTTCCTCGGAAGCAGGTGACTGAGGAACTCTGCGTTTTCAATGTGCCTTCTGCCTCGGGACCTGGGTTCCTTTCTGACCCGCCCCGGCTGCCCCAGCCTGGGGCCCGGCCCCACCGGTCTGGGAGCCCAGAGCCGCTGGGCCTGGAGCTGCCTCTCCGGGGTGGGGTCTCAGGCCCCTGCCCCGTTCTCCTTCGACTTCAGTGCCTTGCTCAGCCCTCACTCGGAAGCCTCCACAGCCTCCCTTTGCATTGCATCAGCTTCACACCTTGGACAAGTGGCCACGCTGGGTCTTAGGAGGGCAGAAGGGCACGGGAGACTTGCGGGAATGTCGGGGGTCCACAGGAAACACTACCCCACCTTCGGCCCCAGCCGCCCCAGCCTGTGAGAACCATGTGTCATAATTGGCCACCACCTGCTTTCTCACTGAGGTCACGTATTTTCAGCTCTCATCCCGTCCCTATGTGTCATCATTTTCCATTTACCTGAAAACGAGACGCCCCTCCTCCAGTTGCCATTGTGCCCTCCTTCCCGGAGGCCCTACCCTGAGGCAGGCCGGGGGCGGGGGTGGGGGGGGCTCTGAGGCGACCGGCCTGTGGCTCGGGCCCTCCTGGGGTTGCCCCACTGTTTGCCAAAAACTCAATTAAAACACCTGTACTTACCTTTCTCCAGTCACATTCCCTTTCGCTTAATGACAAAGCAAATTAAATCATCCTACTTCCCCAGGCTCCTAAACAAATTTCAGATGTGAATTTATTAGCGTCATTAAGCCCAGGTTGATTTATGTGACAATCTGGAGTCACAGCAGAGTCTGGTGGCTGCCATCCCCTTGGAGCTGGGCAGCCCCAGGCCTGGAGGGAACTGGCCTGAGGCAACATCCCCGAGGGCGGGCTGGTGCTCCCCACTGCCAGCCTGGGTGCTGTGCGCCTCCGTGTCGCCTGCTGTCTGCCCCGCTGGAGACCAGAGGGGTCACCGCGCGCTCGCTTGCAGGGAACCGCGAGGCCCCGGGGGGAAGAGGGCGCATCCCAGGTGGTGCTGGCTCACCATGCGCTTCAAGCGTATATGTCTGTTTTTACACCTGCTTGGTGAGGTGGGCGGTTGGGTCATGGTTTCCACTTTCTGGAGGGGCCCCAAGGGGTCGGTGGTGGGAGGGCAGAAGGGGATGCTGCCCTGCCTGGCCCGGGTGCGAGCCTCGCTGTGAAGGAGGAGGAAAATGGCAGCCTTCGCCTGGCTTCACCTGCCCAGACTGGCCCCGAGGTTAAGCCAGGTCAAGGTGGGAGCAGCGTTCCCTGCCTCCTCCCCTGCCGAAGAGCGAAGAGCGAGCTCCTGCCTGTCCCCCCACCTGAGGCCAGAGAGGCAGCTTCGGCTCACGGACGGGGCAGATGGCAGGTGACAGGCCAGGAGGCACTGCTGAGTGGCGGAAGGTGGGCGGCAGGCGCTGTGCCAGGCCTGCAGCCGCACAGCTGTCCTCGCCACACGGGGGCCGGGAGCAGCCTCAGCAACAGGCTGGGCCTAAGTCACAGGCGGGGAGGACAGGCTGCCTCCAGCTCACAGGGAACTGGCCGGCGGCGGGGAACTGGGCAGTGCCAGGCTCCAGGTCTCTGGAGCACGGGCAAGCGGAAGTCCAACACCACACCTGCATGGGGACCGGGTCCGGAGCAGGGCCAATGCCTGGCTCAGCTAGGCCAGGGGCCGCTCAAAAGCCAGCTCTTCTGAGGCCGGGCTCCAGGGCTGCAGGGGAGCTTTGGCATCCCTCCTCCCCGGGGCCTGGGCTCACGTGTCAGTTTGGAGACCAGGCAAAGTAACGTCGGGGTGCCTGCTATGTGCCAGGCACAGCGCTGGGGGGACCCCCGGTTTAGGCCCCCAGGTACCTCATTGGTTTCACAGCTTCCTAGTCGAGCATCTGCGTGTAGCAACTGCCTGCTGCAATTCAGAAACAGGAAATGAATTCTTCAGGATCTAGAGAGCTTTTCTGCCTCCCCTACCCGCCCCCCCTGCCAGGAAACCTACCGACAGCTGTCCCCTTTGAAAGAACCAGGAGACCTGGCTTCAGAGGGGAAGTCATCATGTCCCCCTCTCTTCTGAGCTCTGCATCCCCTCCTCCCACACACACCTGGCTCCCAGGGAAAAGGGGGTGTGGACCACGAGCTGCTCAGCAAAGACGGAGGAGAGAACAGTGACAGCAGCAGCAGGGGGGACCCTGGGGAGGTAGTAAATACGTCCTACTCCTGAGACTAGAACCCACAGGCCTCCCCTCCTGTGTCCCCCCAAAAGAACAAACCAGCATTGGGGCCTCTCTCTGGGTGGACTCAGCTTGCCCTTTGCTACACAGGCCCTGGTTCCTGACGACTGAGCATCCACAGCCTCTCCGACCCACTCGGCTCCCTCTCTCCTGCCAGCCTTTGTCCCCTCCCCTTGAGGCTGCAGAAGCCTTCCTCGGTCCCCCCGAGAAAAGCGGGGGCATCTCGGCTGCGGGCAGGAGGCGGGGAAGCCAGGCCACGCCAGCTCGGAGCCTGCAGAAGGCGTCCTTCCTGCCCCTGCTCCCTCTAAGGCTCACTTGTTCCCAGATTTCATTCCTAGAGAAGGAACGAAGCAGCCAGCAGCCGGCTCAGCTCCACATTTGGCTTTTAATTATCTTTCCAGTTCTTGGTTATTAATGATCTTGGGCACTGAGCGGAGAGCAGCCTGGACCTCGTGACTCCCTGCAGCCTCACCTGCTGCGCCTTCCACCCAGAGATGCCCTCAGACCCAGGGAGGACAAGGGGTCGGGCTGGTGGCCAGCAATTAAACCTCTCGCCACCCGTGGCTGCAACCAACTTCAAGCTCCCTTCCAGGGCACCGGCCTCCAGCACTAGCCTAGACTCGCACTCGCTGACGGAGACAGAACCTGCCCTCCGGACCTGGATCCATGAAGCTCCATTGGGCAGAGAATGTGAAATTGACCGCAATAGCCAAGGCCACCCATTCTGGGGGCAGTCAGACTTTCTAGCCAAGAATGCGAGGGTATTAACAATATCCCACACTCTACCATTTCAGCTCTAAAAACCAAACAAAAACTTTCCAGCTCCCCTGGCCCAATCCCAGCTGTGAACCTTTGGAGGCTGAAGAGGGGACTGGTGCGGAGCAGTGTAGGAAAGGGTGCTAGAAGGACTGCCCTCCTGGCCCCCCGCACTGTGGAGCCATTTCCGCCCTGCCCCACCGAACGAGTCCAGGGCAGCAGGGCCTCGGGCCCTGCATGCTCTGCAGCTGAGAAGGGCCCGGTGGCAGCAACCCCGCTCACAGGGCCACGGAATGAATGGAAGGGTGAGTGCGTGCTTGCTTGCTTCAGAGTCATTGTGGGAGCTAAATGTAATCGCAGATGTGGAAACATCGAGAAGGGTAAGCAAGAGCCTTCAGCTCCAGGGCCGATGGCGTGTGACAGAGAAAGGAGGTAGAGCCAGGGGCTCCCAGGGAGGATGCAGGACTGAGACCCTGGGCTGCTTCCCTGACCCCCTTCCCACCAAGGCCCGGACCAGGGAGGCCGAGCTGGGCCTAACCCGCAAAGCCACCTGCGCCGGGCCCCCAGGGCCTGTGCATCCCCGGGGGCCCCTGGCAGGGCAGGACTCCCACAGCCCCGGGCACCAGCCTCTCTTTTAAAGAGACTGAAGGATGAACTGCATCTATCACCAACGGAGCCCCCTTGCTGAGCACATGTGTCACATCCGGCACCGGGGTGGGCGGGCGCTGGCTCTGAATACCAAGTGGCTTCTGCTGCTGGAGCCTTCTCTCAGCCTCACCTCCCAGATGCTCACCCAGAGGGTGCTGCCCGCCTGCTCTAGGCAGACACCCTGCCTGGGATACTCCCATGATGCTCCTATTGTCCAAAGGGTGCAGAATGAGGCAGCCAGGACCAGGGGGTTGTAAAAGGTTTGTTTAATGTCCCAACACTCTGAGAAGAAACGGCAGCCAGGGGAGCAAAGTCGTGGAGCAGCCTTGCCCTGACCCCGAGTTCCAGCCCCCGTGCGCCCACACCAAGCCCCCAGCAGCCGTGGCCAGGAACCGGCTAACAGGCAGCAGGGCAGGGAGAGCCGGCTGCTTCCTGTGCCCCCAGGTCCTGTGGGAAGGTTTCGGCATGTAGAGAGGACAGCAAGAACAGAGCCCACACCAGGATGTAGGGCTGCTGAGGTCACTCGACTGACCACGGAAGACATTGTCACCGGGGCTCCATGGCCAGGATTTCGTGGCAGAAGTCAGGAAAGTTCAAGCCTGCCTGCCCCTGCCCCTGGCAGTGCCAGGGGGAGAAGGCAGCTGGCGAGGACCGGAGTAGCCCACAGCTCACACTTTTGACTCCAAGCTGTTGATCCGCCTCCAGGAGCAAGGTCCCAGGGAGCTAGGCGTCCCACAGGCCGCCCTGCTGACCTCCTCCAGCCCCCCACTGTCCCTGTAGCCTGTATTCAGCCCCAGGGTCCTGCCCCTGTGCCCCCGAGGCCCCCAGGCCCCAGTGAGCCAGGAACCATGGCTGGCACAGGCTGGGAGGTGAGGACAGACCGCCCCCCAGCAAAGCGGCAGGTGGGCATGGGCGTGGAGGCAGGCATGCGGTCTGTGCGGCCAGACGGGGACTCCTGCCCACGCGGCCTCCTGACAGGCCTCCGGGTAAGACGGCAGCCGCATCGACTGCGCCTGCACCAAGCGCCCGCAGGCCGGGCGGACGCACCTGGCGGACAGCGAGCAGGGCGAGGCGAAGGCCTCGGCCACGGAGATGGGCAGGGAAGCGTGGCGCGCGCGGGGGCCCCGGGCCCAGGCGGCGTGCAGCAGGGCCTCCCTCCGGGCCAGCTGGTCTGGCCTGAGCAGGGGCAGATCCTCGGGCTCCGCGGGCTCCATGAAGAGCGGGAGGAAAGGACGCCCCGACCGGTCGGCTCGAGGGAAGGAGCTGTAGTGGCAGCGCTCGGGAGACAGGGGGCGCTCCGGAAGCGCTCGCCTGTCGGAGGCCGAGAGGTGCCGCCCGCAGCGCCCGGTCCGCACCGGTCTCCGCACCGGCCACCGCACCTCCCAGGCCCGCCGGCTCGACAGCCGGGAGACGTCGGGCAGAGGTGGCCGTGGCGTCGGAGGGCGGCCCACGAGCTGCGGGGTTCTGCGCCCCAGCGCGGCGCGGCCGCCGCCTGATGGCCCCCGGCCCTTCGGGCTCGGGTCGGGGGGCGGGCCTGGAGTGGGCGGCCGAGGGCCGGGGCAGGCGGGGGGCGGGGGCGCGCGGCGGTTGCCCCAGTTCTCAATGGTGCGCGTGGCGCGGTCCAGGGAGCTGCTCACGCCAGCTGTAGTCACCATGTCCCGCGCCGCCTGCAGCATCTTGAGCACGCTGGCCTGGGCGGAGCTGGCCGTGAGGTCCGGGCTCGGCTGCCGCGCGGGGCTGGTCAGGCTCTGCACCCCGCTGAAGCAGCTGTAGATGCCCTGCGTGAAGGTGGGAGACTCGCTGTGAACGCACCGTCCTCTCTGGGACGCCCACCTCCTTGTACCAGGCATCAGCCCAGGCGCCTCTAAGTGCTAGGGATCCACTAACATTTGTTAAGCGCCTCCTTTGTGCCAGGCACTGTGCTGCTGTGAGTTTACCCAGGAGCTCTCTGAGGCTCCAAGAAGTTAACTCCTAAAGTCACACAGCTTGTAAATGGCAGGGAAAACTCCAACCAGAGTGTGCCTGGCTCCGGGGTTCGCCCTGCCTGTTGGAGAAGAGCTTTGCCTTCAGCTGTGTGACTCTGTCAGGCTATG